GGGCGGCCCTTGAAATCAAGTGTTGAGGAGGGAGACACTGAGGGAGAAGAGACGACTGCAAAGGAGGCAGGGACAAGAGCTGGAGGTAGCACGGGGACTGGGGAGAGAAGAAAGGGCGTGTGAACCAGGGCAGGGGAGCGTGCGGATGCACACGGAGAGCAGGAGCAGGTTCAAAGGCTCATACAAACAGCAGGCAGGAGAGTCAGCCCTGGTCGTTCATTTATCAGACAGAGTCGGGGGAGGGCGTAGCTCGGGGGTACAGCCCGTGCTTACTGTGCAGGCGGTCCTGGGTTCAATCCTCAGTCCTTCTGTTAAAGATGAATAAATAAACCTAATTACCACCTCCCCTCCCCCCAAAATGTGGGGGGTGGGGTTAGATGAGGAAGAGGGGAGTCAAATGCCAATCCCGTGTTCCCTGCCATCCAGGGTGACAGGGCGATGCTTTCTGTCAGTCACACAGCAGGAGGGCGTACTCTCCGGTGCTCAGGACAGATAGCAATGAGATGTCCTGAGCTGACTTCATAGGTGAGTCCTCAGGACAGGTGACACGTCCGGGGAAGTTGGTGACTCACCAGGTTGTAGAAGCCGGTGACCGTGAAAGGAGGACCAGAGGTGGTTCGGAACAGAATGCTGCAGAACTGTGTCATTTCACAGGGTTTGGACATCTTGGTGAGCCAGGGGTGAATGGAAGGCACATCCACGAGAGAGTGAAATGACCGGAGCCCCACTATGTATGAAAATAGGTAAAAGACAGATCTCTTCTATGTAGGACAGGGGACCGTATTCAATGTCTTGTAATAGCCTTGAATGAAAAAGAATGTGAAAACAAATATACATGTGTATATGCATGACTGGGACGTTGTCCACAAGAAACTGACACGTTGTAGCTGACTGTACTTCCGTAAAATAAAATAGAAAAGCACCCTAAAAATAAAAAGGGGAAAAAGGAATGGAGCCATCAGGGAAGAAAGGAGAAAATGAGGGGACACAAAGCTGAGCGAAAGGGTACCAGTGTCATACTCAGCAACTGCTTCAGATACACCCTGAGGACCAAAATGTGTCTGCTTTTTTTCATTTATTCTATTATAGTACTATTTGCGTACAATAAAAGCCCATTTAAGTACTTGCCTTTGTGAGATGGAGAAATGTGCCCTGCTGTTCAGCAGCACTCTGTCAAGATGATTCCATTACCACTCCTGCTCCCCCTGCCCAAAGATGCTCCTTTAAGCATCCCTTCAACCTGTCTCCCCACCACCGGTGATCTCTTCACTGTCCATATGGTCTTGTCTTTGCGAACATATTATGTAAATGCAACTACGCAGTGTTTATTTAGTCTTTGAGTCTGGCTTCTTCCCTCAGCATCATACATATCAGATTGGTCCGTGCTAGTGCATAATGTTAGTAGTTCCTTCTGCTTTATTCCGGCTGTAGTATGAATGCATCAGTGTTTATGTATCCATCTCCTGGATGAGGGGCATGTGGACTATGTCTGGTTTTTTGTCTCTTAATTACAGAAATACGATTGGTGTCCAGTGCTGAAGATGCGTTCGTGAAGTGGCTGAGATGACAGCCAGATGCGGGATTTGTGGGGAGAAGTTGTCAATTATGGATTAATATTTCATGAAACTTGCCTGTGAAGTAAGGGATAGCCAGAAATCTGTAGTTCCAGTGAGAAATAGGGTAAAATGAAGATTCTGTTAGATTTATTATGGGAAGATAAGAGGTGTTTGGACATACGGATATTCTGAGGGCAAATATAGGGTTTATAGTTTCTTATTCTGTTTCATTTTATTTTTTGGGGGGGGTTTATATATATATAAAATTTTGCTGTTACATTGTTGCTGAACTCAGATTTAGCTGATTGCTGCTCAAAATTCAATAATCAAGAAGCAAGTGTCAGTATAAAGGAAAGTTGCTTTAATCAGAAAAGCCAGCAATCTGGGGAGAAGGTGGACTCATGTCCCGAGACCACCAGTATAGATTCTGCTCAATCATGACAGTTTTTAAAGGAAATAGAGGAAAGAATCTCAGTGAATCATCAAGGGAGGCAGCGAAGCTCTGTGTCACTTTGCATTGTGTGTGGGCTGTCTGACTTTGTGGTCTTTCTTCAGATGTGATCATGTACGAATGGTCTGCTTACAGGATTTCTAAGTGGGCTGCTGAGGTAGAAAGCTAGTCATTCTTTACTTAACTCTTCATTCCTACGTCTTTTAATCTAGGGGAAGAGTCAACAGGTCAGAGGAGGCATGGTGTGCATTTAGTAGAGCATGAATTAGGAGTTAGGTTCAATGTTACCTAGCCATCTCGTTTTTATAAATTAGGTTTAAGGGGGACAGAAATAGACAAAGAGGAGGGGGACAAGAGGGCTGCTTGCAACTTGATACCTACTCACCTGAAAGACAGATTTAGTAGTCAGCAAACTCTTCATCCAAAGACAGCAGGGCTCGCGGGAGAATCATGGGGAGTGTGTGTCTCGAAGCCCTTTGAACTTTGTAACCTGGATGATAACAAAAATAAATACAATTATATCAAAACCGCTGGCAAATGAAAAAGACACGTACAGTGCTAACTTTAAAAGGATGCCAGGATGAGTGTAGAATATTGTCTTAAAGTTAAGAATGATAGCTTGATGAGGGGGAGTGTACAGAAGGTTTTAGAAGACAAGGAAAAGTGCAGCAGAGTCAGGGAGAAACAGGTAATTAGTGTGTCCAAGGTGGGGGAATGGCTGGCCACGTGGGCCAGAAAGAGAATACAGAGTGAGTGGGGATTGTGTACCTCGGTCTTTTTTCCTGTGTGCTTGATGGTTTCAGCTATGTTCCTGTACTTTGTATTCCATGGCTGTGACTGGCTGATATGAAACATTAATCTCTGGTGTAAAATCTATATGAACCAGTGCAACTTTCACATTCTACTGACTTCGTTCCTCCAATGAGCAGTGGCGTACAAGCCAATTTATGATATAGAAATAGGCGTGTGTCACTAGAAAGAATGATCTCAAAGGTACAAGAGGGAAAAGCTTGCAGAAGGGAGGTCCCAAAGAATTTAGGGCCAGAGAGAGACCCCATACCAGTAGTTGCGATTAGTTCCTTACCCCTAAACTCTTACTTGGGGTTCCTCAGGTCTACTCCATTTTACAGAAGGATCATATTCAGGAACTTACAGACGTCAATTTTAGCTCCCGCGGTTAATAGGCAACATTTTCAGTTGCTGAAATCATTATCTACTGTTTCTCTTCGTTTTCGGTCCATAGCTCATAGCAGCCGTGAATGCAGTGTCACACCGTAGGGATGTGTTGGGTACATCGTAATGTGATGAGTGCAAAAGCTATCAGCGGGTGACTTCCTTAGGGTCCCTTCTAAATGAAACGAGAAAAGGATTCTGTTTCCTTCACTTCGAATTCTAGCCCTGGTCCCCTGTCTGGCCTGAGAAGGTGATGTAATGAGAGCTTAGGAGATGAAGGAAGGGAAGGAGGGAGGGAGAGTTGCTGCACCTCACACCTCCTTGTTCAGAATCTGAAACCACATGCCCAGATGACCTGGGTGCTCATTGTATCTGGAGACGCACTGGCCTCCACTCTGAACTTTGGTCTCCTTAATTGTGAACAAAAGAGAGAGAGGTGGGGTGGGTGCAGAGAAAGACAGAGAAACTGACCTACCTGTACAGATATGCGGATTCCAAAAAGGCATGTGAAATGGTTAGCAGGAGGGGGCGGTGCAAGAATGAAAGGTGCTGTTAGCAAGAGTAACGAGAAAGTGCGGCAGTAAGTGCACTAGATGTTGGAGATGAACGGAGCTGTAGGGAGGGGCACTCTCTCTCTTGCCCTCATATTATTTCCCTGTCTCAACCCCTTGCTGGCTCTTTGCCATGCTGTAGCAGTGGAGTTCCTAGATGTGTGTTTAACGTCAATCGTGGCAGTGGTTGGCGACCGAGGGCTCTTCCCCCAGGAGACATCTGGATCCCTTGTTGACTGCCATGACTGGGTGGGAGAGATGTTACCGGCATCTAGTGGGTGGAGTCCAGGGTCGCTCCCAAACATGTTACAACGCTCAGGGTATGTCCCCAAAACAGAGCAGAATCCAGTCCCAAGCATTAATAGCGCCAATGCCGAGAAATCCCTGAATTATGATGATCTAGAGACCTCTGTTTGCAGAAAGGACACATTTTGCAAGTGAAGGTCTTCCGACAGGGACACAAATGAATAATCTGTAGACGTATTCAAAGCACAGACTATGAGTAGACTCAGCGTA